ATATGGAGGAAATTCCTAATTCCGTTTATACCACATCTAGGTCATGGGTAAGAAAATGTTTGCTCCTCAGTTGATCTATGTAGCCAACATCTGCATCAATAAAATAGAAAATCGGGCCTCCCCGGTGGCGCAGCGGTTGAGCACTGGGTTGCGAAGCTGCCCGCAGCCTCTGTGGCGCCGGTTCGATCCCCGGCTGCTCCCCGGCCACTGGAGGAGGGTCCCAAATGGCGCGCAGACCTCTCCTGCCGCCCGCTGCTCCCCTCAGCAGTGTACTTCGGTCCTTCTGCCTGCTCTGCTCCCCGCTCTGGCTCTGGTGAATTCTCTCACCCTCCCGCGCTTCTGACTGTACCCAGTGCATGTATAAACAAAACAAACAAACAAATAAATAAATAAATAAAGCATGCCTCTATAAAAAAAAAAAAAAATAGAAAATCCTTGAATTTCCTCAAATTATGTCCTGGAAAATGTTCCTCAAATTATGTCCCCCTGCAGTTATTTCATTGTTTTCCTTCCTTTCCAGTCTGATTTGGCTAATTTTAATGCCATTCCAATAGGGAACAGTGGTAGAGAAAGAAATAGACGAGATAGTAATACATCACTCCTTAATTCTTGTAGTCCTAGGAAAATCAAGTGTTCTCTATGGTGGTGGAAAGAGGAGATTATTTCCTGATGCAGGAGCACTCACAATGTAATGGAAATGCAGGGTTGTATTGCCATGGTTTTGATCCCTAGCATATTTTGGAATAGGGCCCAAGTCCTGTTTCACAAGCCTAAATAACTAACCTGGACCTGGGTTCCAAGGAGGACCATGGATTTGTGGCTCACGGGTGCACACTTCTCTGCCCCACTGGGGGCATATTGTGGCACCAACCTTGTAGAGACTTTGGGCCCAAGACCTGTTTCCTGTGGCTTCCTGAGGGGAGGTTCCCCAAACTGTGTTTGCATAGAATAGCTGTGAGCCATCTACAAACTTCCATAATGGAGTTTCCCTTCATATATTTAAGTTGTATTCTGTTGTATAGTGATTTGTGGACTAGACAATGTAGCAGAAGTACACTGAAGCAAGTTGATTAAGAGTTGATAAATGAATGTAATGTAACAGAATTAGCTGACTGCTTTATTCTCAAAATGTTTATACTTCAGTTAGTTTATGCTTTAGTTTGAATTACCATGTTAATCCCTTCATCATATTGCTCTGTACTATTCTCAAATAGTTTCTCATTAAAGCCTTTTCTCCTTGATCTGCTTTGCAGACTTTCCAAACAAAGACTGCCACCTTTTTCCAATGTATTTTTTTTAAGCATAGAAGAACTGGGGAGTAGACCAGAGGTGCAGTGGTTGAGAGGATTCACCAGAGAGAAAGGGGAGCAGAACAGGCAGATGTACTGAAATACACTGCTCAAGGGAGCAGCAGGCATGGCAGGAGAAGGCTGCTGCACCCTATGTGTCTTCGCTCCCTCGTGGGGAATTGAACTCAGGCCACAGCAGTGACAGAGCTGAGACTTACTCCCTAAGCCACCAGCGAGGCCCCTTTCCCAATAATTTCTCACTGCAGTATTGGCCACATAGAATTTACTATAAAATGAATGTATCTTTACTGATCAAGGAATCATGTCACAGGAAAGTTTTAGATTTAAATTAATTGGTATGCATGTGTAAGGACTATATACTACATGGTTGATATGAACAGTTTTTCTGGTTTTTAAGTGACTCTGAAATTGAAGAGTCTTTTTGGAAAATGTCAAAGTAAAAACTGATATGAAAATATTTAACCTTTCGTTCTTATTATAACAAAATGGAAAATAACAAATGACAGGGTTTCATATGGTAGCCCTGAAGGATAATGCTTTTCAGATCCCTTTTATCCATCTCTTTTAATAAATAGCCCTTCATTACCTTTTTATGTTACAAGTTTGCATACTGAACCAGATTGCAATGAAAGAACAGTCTAATGAAAAACACTATGTTTGAAATAGATGTAGGTCATTCTGTGCCCATAAATTTTTAAGTAGTTGATGGAAAATTGGTCTCTCTAAGTAAGAGATTTTTGTTTTATTTTCAAGTTAGGCTATAGTTTTGGATCTGTGGACAAACCATTTACTCTCCCTGGTATTATCTTTCTTCTAGCTAATTCTGTGAGTCATAGTCTCTTCTGGTACCATCGATATTATTGCAAAGAGGAAGATTTAATCCGGTGGGTTTTTTTAGTAGCTGAGTAGTATTTGTGGGTTGTGCGCCATATTTTTGTAACCAACTCATCTATTGTTGGACCCTTAGGTTGCTTCTATCACTTTGGTATTGAAAATACTATTACAATGAACATAGGAGTGCACATAACCCTTCATATTAGTGGTTTTGTATACTTCAGAGAGATATCTAAGAATGGGATTGCTGGATCATCAGGTAGAACTATTTTTAGTATTTTCAGAAATATCTATCCTACTTTTCTAGGAAAGGAAACAGTCTTCATTTCCACCAACAGTGGAGTAAAGACATGGATATAAGTTCTGAAATCACAAAATACACAGAAAAACAAAAATGACACAGTTCCTTAATCAGCCTTAGAGATGACTTTTGTCAATCGGATTACATTGGCAAAGGAAACAAAAGCAAATATAAACAAATGGGACAATATTAAACTAAAAGGTTTCTATAGGGTGACAGAAACCACCATTAAAAAGCTAATGATTTGGAGAAAATATTTACATATGTCAGACAAGGGCTTAATATAGAAATTTTATAAAGAACTCATTAAACTCATCACAAATATCCCCATTGAAAAGTGGACAGAGATGTTGAAGGGCGCCTTGTCCACAGGAGACAGAGATGGCAGCAGGCCCATGAACGTGTGTTCTTCCTCTCCTATTCAGAAAGCAAATCAGAAGCAAAATGAGCCATCATCTCCTATCTGTTAAGAGGGTTATTATCAAAATAGACAAGAAACAAGTGATGGTAAAGTTGTGGAGAGAAAAAATTCTTTGTAGATTGTTGTTACAAATTTAAACTGTTCCAATCATGGAAATAGTGTGGCAATCCCTCAACAAAATTAAGAAAAGAAATATCACATGACCCAGCTAGCTGACTTCTCTTTAGTTGTCAAGCTTTACCACAAAAATACACAAACTTAAATTCAAAGAGATATATGGAACACCATGTTCATCATAACATTATTCACAACACTCAAGGCAGAGAAACAAACTCAGAGCCCACTGATAGATGATAAAATAAAAAAAAAAAGTGATATATATGATATAAATAAAGAAGATGAAATCCTGCTGTTTGCAACAACATGGATTGACCTAGAGTATCTATATTTTGCTATCTAAAATAAGTCAGAGGGATAATAAAAGCACCATATGATTTTGTTACAGGGCAAGGAGAGGAGCAGCCCAGACACCACAAACCTACCTGCTCTAAATGGGTTCTTCCGTCCACCGCATCACCACAAACATATAAGACTTTACTGGGAAGGAACTTCAATACAATTAGGAAACAATATAGGAAAGGCAGAGACTACAGTTTCTTTTTTTTTAAATATTTTATTTTATATAATTCTTACATCATTTTTCATCTTGGCACAATGTATGCATTTTCATTTTGGTTATATTCCCAATACAATTGCACCCCCCCTTATTTTGACTCTAGTCCTTCCTCTCCCTGCCCTCCCTCCCTCCCCCCACCCCACACCCCCTCCCCCTGCAGTGTGTCTCTATAGTTTCTAAATAAAGTATCCAAAGTTACCAGTCCCCTTGTTGGTAAAAGTCCATCCAAAAGGGATTGGCCCAGAATAAGGCCCCAAAGCCTGCCACAGGTCTAAGGCATCTTCCAGTGGGGACCCAGAGAAAAGGATCAGAAACCACCAGACAAGTCTGGAAGGAAAAGATTAAATTATCAAAAGCAAGACAAAAACCGCCATTGCCACCTCCCCACGGGTCTCTCGCCCACATCTGTGTCACCCAGTCCACGACCAAAAGGCAAGCATGGTTTCTTCACGTGTCTCTCTGCTCTACGTGCCTCCTCTGGGTCTCCTTCTGGCTCCATCCTGCTTCCTTCCTTCCTCAGTTTCCTCTGCAGCTTCTTCTCTCCCTGCTCAACTCCACCCTACCTTGGGTGGGGTGGGAACCTGGAACCTCCCCCTTTCCTGGGGACCACCCTGTTACAATTTCACTCCTATATGGATGATAGAGAAACAAAACAAACGAACAAACAAAACAAACCAAAAACAACATCTTAGTCTGTAAGAACAAAATATTTGCTGCCAGAGGAAACAGGAAAAGGGGCTGAGGAATTTGGGTGAAGGAGTTCTTGTATGGTGAAGAATGGAAACTGTTTATTCAAATGTTAATTTTTAATGTACACCAAAACCTATCGCTATATAATGGTACAAACCAGTGGAACTTCAGTAAAAATTAAAAGAAAATGAAGTGAAACACAAAGATGTTTATTAGAGCTCATGAAATTTGTGATAATTCCGAAGCTCCATTTGTATATATATGTAAAAAAGTAAAAGCTATTCTGAGATATTTTGACTTGCTCTCTTAGACGCAATCCTCATACTTTTCCTTTTTTAAATTTTTTCTCCCTCAGCAGTTAATTTTTAAAAACAATGGAATCAACTGATGGCCTATGAAGGGACATTTAAAGGTCTTAATTTCAGAGGACATTTATTCTGATTGCTGTGTGTTCTTTACAGTTTTTGCTCTAATACATGGGAGTCAGAATCTCCAAGATGGATGAGGGTTGCTCCAAGACCCACATTTTGATGCAAATTTCCTAAGTCATCCTAAATTCCAGCCACTTCAAAATTCATGGAGCAAACCCAAAGATGTAAAATTGTGGAGAAAAGGGAAATGATTTCCTTAGAACAAGGAAATGACACCTCAGGCTAAATTCAACCTTGTAAATACAATGAAAAACCAGCCACATTCATTTGTTAATTGTCCTTGGCTATCTCCTTGCTGTAGTGCAGATTTTAGTAGTTGCAAAAGGAACTACAATATATGGTAAATAAAGTTTGAAATATTTATTCTTTGAGGAGAGAGAAATTTGTCAATCCTTGTTCTACAGTCATGATTTGTAAACATTCAAGCGCAGCTTCTCTGGCATAGGGAGGGTGAAGAAAGAGATCTGAGCCTGTGTTCTTCTTCCCTTATCAGGTCTCTGAATCTACAGAAAATAAGGGATCTTTTTAGAGTTTGAAAATCAGTGAATTTATCTTGAATTGCCCAATCAATATTAGCTTGCTAATGCTGTTAATAACATTTATATCAGAAATAATAATAATTCAGGGTCAGTGATATAAGCGATGATTGGATAGTTCGTTAAGTTGAACAAACATTATTAAGCAGTCTTTGTGGTGGAACCATAGCTGGGGGAGGCGTGAGGTATGGGGGTGTAAGAGTGCAGCAGAGATGGAGTAGAGAACAGAAAAGGAGGATTTATTGAAATACCCTGCAAGGGAACAGGGGGCAAGAGGGAGCTATACAGCTGTGTGTGAAGGATTTGAGACTTTTACACTAGGGTTCCATAGGGTTTCTTACTTGGGGAGCCAGTTTGCACAGGTTATCGGCTGGGATGTCTGCTCTTGGGTGCAGACCCTTGACACAGACACATGTGCAGGCCCTGCCTCTGCATTCCTGGAGTTGGGCTGGTTTATCTGCCATGGCGGTCAGTCTAGTGGCCCAGTTCCCGTGGCAGCCTTATTGATGCCCTTCTCTGCTCAAGTCTCTCAAACATGACTGTGGGGTAAGAGTGAGAGCTTAGTTTGTAAAATTATGAAATGACACCCTGACACCCGTGTTGGGCCAGATGTATACTGCAGGAGTGACAACATAATCCTTTCTCTGGAAATCACAGTATTTTCTTTCCTTTTTCCAGAATTTATACTATTTTTGCTGATTTGATGGGCTCATGTTTTAATATTTGGTAATTAAACATGGTTTTGACAGGGAATGAGTAATAAAAAAATAAAGCAACCCAATTCAACCCCCTTTTGCTCTTTTGATTGTACCATAACTTACAACTTAATTGTCAGAAATTCTCTCTTAAGAAAATGTAGAATTGCTTCCGTGTTTAGCCTTTGGGGATTTGGGGTTCCCTTTTTGGTAATTTACTTGACACTTATTTATATAGGAGGGAATATGGGTAGTTGTTGAGAAGTCAAAAGGATGCCAAGGAGGGAAAGGAATCTTCTTGGCACCACAGAACTTATTAAAGTCACCCATAACCAAATGTGGACAGATTTAGTGAGAGCAGGTGTAGATAGCACTAAAATACACGCACAGCCCAATCTATATTTGTTGGAATTATGGCAGCAGCTGCAAGAAGACCAGAGGTTCACGCCCATGAGAAGGACTGCTGCTCAGAGGGAGCCTGGAAGCTCCAGGCCTCAGGCACATGTCCTGCGCCTGGAAGACACTTGCTGCCAACCCCATCCTCGAGTGATGGCCTGATCGCTTTCAAATAGGGTGAGGGCCAAGGAACCCGTCCACAGGGGATGGGCGGGGACCGGAGGCCACATGTGGAGCTTGCCATCCACTGGTCCCCAACTAACATGCAAAGGGTTTTAGCTCTGGCAGACACAGGAGCAGAATGTACTCTGCTCTATGGAAATCCAGAAAGATTTCACAGGTCTACTTGTATTGATGGCTCTGGAGGCCAGAGTGTCAAGGTGATATCAGTGAGACTATCTCTGGGGATTGGGCCATTACCCCCCAAAAGAGTATAAAGTATATGTATCGCCTGTCCTGGAGTACATCCTGGGGGTGGATGCACTATGCGGCTTATGGCGAGAGACCACAGCTGGAGAGTTTCACCTTAGAGTGCGTGTGGTAAAGGCAGTGGTGAGAGGACACGCTAAGCATCTGCCCACACAACTGCCAGTCCCTAGGCGAGTGACTAATACCAACCAATATCAGTTGCCCGGAGGCTACAAGGAAATTGGGCACAATATTAGAACTGGAGAAAGCGGCATTGTGCGTACTGCCCACAGCCCCGACAATTCACCAGTGTGGCTAGTGAAGAAGCCGATGGCTCTTGGCGCATGACAGTAGATTATCATGAGTTAAATAAGCTAGTTCCCACTTTGCATGCTGCAGTGCCTTAGGCAGCAGATTTGGTGGATCATCTGCTGGTGCCAATGAATGTCTTTTGCCACTAGGTTGGTACCTCGCCTGGACTAACGTGTGTTCTGTTGTCTTTTGTTATTATAGTGTGATGTACACTATTCACTTTTGTGGGCCATGGCTGTGTTGTTTATGTTTGCTAAGAAACAAAATTGTCTATATGTAGATGGTCTGGCAGAAAACCCTGAGGGGGTGGATTGTAGGGTAAGGTAAAAAGCATCAGGCTTTTCTGCTCTCCCGCCATTAGGAGAGATGAGGGATCCCTGCGGGCCTGAACGCAGGCCTGATGGCGGCACCTGGAGTAGGGTGGGGGTGCGGTGTGGAGGGTGGAGGAGGACAGTGGAGTGTGTGGAGGAGAGCGGCGACTACAAACAAGGGCGAGGAGCATGTGGCTGCTAGAACCGTTCATAAACCCACCTGGAATGGGTTGGTTGCGTTACAGCGGGGTCCTGGGGTTCACTCTGGGATAGGTATCTGCAGAGCTCCCCTGTCAGTGGCACGAGGCGAGTTTCCCAGGCGAGTTTCTCCACGAGACAGAGACGGTAGTTATATTTAAAAAACAGGTTTATTGGGGAAAGGGAAAAGGGCAGGTTTTGCTGAGAGAGGCCTGCATGCTTGATGTCGGGCGGCCTTGACAGGTCACAGGCGGGCAGGAAGCTGCTGCCCTGCAGAGGGAGAGAGTTGGTAAGAAAAGGAACCTACACAGTCCCAGGTGGGCAGAGGGAGTGCTGCCCCGAGCCAGTGCAGAGACTTTACAGACACAGTCCTCTTCTGTTTTGGGGGGGGGGGTCACTCCTTGTGAGCCGTCAGTTGGCTGCTGATTTTGGATAACCACGCAGAATCCAAGAGGGACCAGAGATACCAGGATGGGGAGTGGAGATTCCAGGATGGGCCCAATCTCTGTATCTTTTCCCTCTGGTCTGTGCTCCACTCCCTAGAGCATCTGATCCTGCTTGGGTCTCATGCCTTGTGATAAGGCCCTCGTGCCTAAGGGTCACGATCTCTACAGCTGGGTTAATGGTCATGCTATTACCCTCTATCCCTACCTCCTTGTGAGTCAGCTATGGTCTTAGGGCACCTCCTTTCCAGTCTTTCTATTCTGTCCACCATCAAGGCCATTCCTATTATATTTTGTGAGGAGGGGAAGGTGGGTCCAGAATGCTGGGTGAGTACAGAGTATGCGGCTCTCGTAGCAATCAGAAAATTCATATCTTGCCAGTGACATCCAGGATTACCCCAGGCTCAACCACAAAGACCTCGTCACTGGGGAGCTGACGACCTCCTTGGTCCCTGTCACTTGTCTTCCAGGAGGTGGCAGTAGTCAGTCTGTTACAGGGCCGGAGAAGGACACCCCAGAACCCCCAAAGCTGCTTACTCTAAATAGGTTCTGCCATCTGCCGCATCAACACAAAACATGTAAGATTTTAATGGAAAGGAACTTTAACACAATTAGTAAACAATACAGAAAAGACAAAGAATCTGTTAGAGGTCAGGGAGAAGGGCAGCCCAGACACCACAAACCTGCCTGCTCTAAATAGGTTCTGCCATCCGCCGCATCAACAGAAAACATATGAGACTTAAATGAAAAGGAACGTTAATACAATTAGTAAACAATGCAGGAAAGGTAAAGAATATAGTTTCTAAAACAAGCATCCAAAGTTACCTGTGCCCTTGTGGGGAAAAGTCCACCCAAACAGGATTGGCCTAGAGCAAGGCCTGAAAGCCTCTCCCAAGTCTAAAGCACCTTCCAGTGGAGACCCACAGAAAAGGATCAGAAACAACCAGACAAGTGTGGGAGGAAAAGAGCAAAATCAAAATCAAGACAAAAACCACCATTGTCACCTCCCCACCGGTCTCTCGCCCATGCTGTTGTCACCCAGTCCACAACCAAAAGGCAAGTGCAGTTTCTGCACGTGTCTCTCGGCTCCACGTGCCTCCTCCAGGTCTCCTTCTGGCTCCATCCTGCTTCCTTCCTTCTCAGTCTCCACTGCAGCTTCTTCTCTCCCTTCTCAGCTCTCTTCTCTCTTTTCCTTCGGGTTGGGCAGGGAACCTGGAACTTCCCCTTTACCTGGGGACCACCCTATTATCTTGGATATCTCATAGAGAAACACATATTTTAACTGTCTTAATTTGTTTAAGTGAGATGTCATTAAATTTTAGTTTTCTTATAAGAAGCAAAAAATAAACCTGCAAGCTCAACAATATTTAGAGAAAGTGATATTGTTTAACATTCTCATTCTTAAACTTAATAAGACCTTAGTTTTATATGAAATTTGGCCACCATTTAAATAATGATAAAAGAAAAATTTAAGGGAGAGATACCAATTGTAGCTGTTAGTTTTTCTTAGGACAGGAATTTTAAATTAATTTCAGAGTTGCAAATTCTAACATCCCAAAAACCAAATTTCTTTCTTAGGCAAGTACTACATAGATTGATGAAAACCAAGAAAAATAAGAGAGACTTAATATATACATTTCCTACATACCTGTGAGGAACACAGTGTTGCTAAGGAACTTGCCCATGAGGCTAGTTTTTGCTAGGACAAGGGGAAAGAAAGAAGTCAATCTGGGATTTTTCTGGAAAAGAATTTTATCAAGAGATTTAGGACTAATCATCAAAATGCAAACTTATCTTTTTTGATGTAGACTAGGTCAATTACTCTTCTTTCTTTTCCTGAATACTGTGTGCTTCCTTTTGAAAATAGAGACATTTCAACAAAAAATATTGATACTCAACATGAAAACTGTAAGGCTTGCATGCTACAAATTCAACCATTAAGTTTTGATCTAGTTTTTGATTACCAAAATCTTAAATCCTGATCTCAAAATTGGGAATTTTTTATTAGACTTTTTATAGTTGTCATTTATAACTAATACTCCTAAGGCATTAGATAGTGATAGAAACAGATTTTTTGATTTTTTTTTTAAACTTTGGTCATGTGCATTAGTTTTAAAAAGTAGTTATTCTTTTTTTTAAATAATAAATTTTATTTTTATATTCCCCAACAATTGCAACCCCCCCCATTCTGACCCCAATCCCTCCCCTCCCGCCACCCACCCCAAAAAAGTGTCTCTGGTTCAAAGTTTTTTGTTGATTTTGATTTTTACTTTCTTATAGTTACTCATTTTCCTGGTCCCTTATTTAAGTTTTCTAGATTCCTGCTATGAGTGAGACCATCCGGTAGTTTTGTTTTTCTTTCTGGCTTATTTCGCTGAGCATGATCCCTTCCAGCGCCATCCATGTTGCTGCAAACTGCATGTGTTTATCTTTTTTGAATGCTGAGTAATATTCCATGGTATATATGTACCAAATCTTCTTGATCCACTCATCTATTTTTGGGCATTTGGGCTGTTTCCAAAGCTTAGCTTTTGTAAATAGTGCTGCTATAAACCTAGGGGTGCAGGTGTTCTTTGGAATTGATGTTTCTGTGTCCTTTGGGTAAATACCTAGGAGTGGAATTGCTGGATCATATGGAAGCTCTATGTTTAGTAGGTCCAGAAATCTCCACACAGCTCTCCATAGTGGTTGGACCAGTTTGCACTCCCACCAACAGTGCAGAGAGTTCCTTTTTCTCCACACCCTCGCCAACATTTGTTGTTGCTAGTTTTTTTAA